TCCAGTAGCTTCCCATTGTTCCTGGTGTGGAATCTACACTCTTTCCTGTAGCTGAAAGGTCCAGATCTGGCCCTCTCCAATCTCCTCTCTCACCCTTCCCTCAAACTCACCAGTCTTCTGCCAAAACAAACTCTTCCTTCCTCTGAGCATTTGCACATGCTGTTCCTTTTGCCTGGAAGGCCTGACTCTCAGAAGGGACTAACACCTTGTTTCATCCAAGACTCACCTCAAAAATTAGATGCTTAAGCCAGGCATAGTGGGGCACACCTGTAATCCCAGCTACTTGGGAGGTGGAGGCAGGACAATCCTGAGTTCCAGGACAGTCTGAGCAAAGTTATCAAGACCTTATCTCAAAAACAAAAATTTTTAAAGGGGCTCAGGGTGGAGAGGGGGCGGCTGGGGACATAGCTCAAGTGAAGGAATTACTTTTTTTTTCTGGGACCAGCATCACCTGTGAGTACAGTACCAGATGGTGCCTTCCCCTTACAAAAACCCAAAGTTCCTAAACAGCACTGCTTTGTTATTTTTCTGTTGGTACTGTGCATGTGTGCACATGTGTGTGCACATGTGTGTGTTAATTATGGAGGTCCTTATTGAGGAGGAAATTGTAAAGTTCTTTAATAGCTTCAATTCCTTGACTAGTGTCCAAATAGTCACTTCAGTGCCTCAGCATTAATGTCCCACTAAGCAAATGAATGTACTTCTGCACTTCACTCAGGCTTTTGATTGGCAATGTCACCAATGAGCTCCTGGAGAAAAGGTTCCCTTCACTCTGTGAGTGGCAGGAGACCAGCATATAAACCTACAGACTGAGGCCCCATCACCCCACCTTTGTCCCTACCTCGTTCCAGCCTGCATACAGGCAGCAAGGTCAGGATAGAAAAGGCCAGTGGGAGGTGGCTGCAGAGCCAGCAAAGGTCAGAAAGCAGGAATGAGGTACAGCTGAGAAAAAAACAGGGTCAGGAGGCCTAGGCGTCAGGGCCACCAGCTAGCTGTGACACCTATGTCCTTAACTCAAAACTCAGGTTGAAGATCTAATACCCACTGCCTCAGAATATGATTCTGTTTAGAGAGATAATTAAGTTAAAATGAGGTCATTAGCATGGGCTATAATCCAGTTTGATCCATGTCCTTATGAAAAGAAAAAAATTGGACAGACATGTAGAGGGAAGATGATATGAGAACACAGTGCTATCACTGTGGCATCTAGGAGCCCAGAAGAGAGGCCTGGAACAGCTATTTCCTCCCTACCCTCAGAAGGAACCCACCTGCCATCTCCTTGATTTCAGATTTCAGCTTCGAGAACTGTGACAAAATACATTTCTGTTCTACATGTAAGCCCCCAGTCTATAGTACTGTGTTCTGGCAGCCCTAGCAAACAAATAATTCATTAATAAGTCATTAACCTTTTGGAGCCTCCGTTTCCATAACTGCAAAATGTGAATACCTGGCCTGCCCACCTTATGTGTTTGCTATGGGAATCCAACGAGTCTAGGTGTGGGAGACCTTTGGACACTTCAAAGAGTTCTAAAGATGACAGTGGGATTTCTAATTTCACTCACAGGAATGGATCCTGAGATGCTAGGCAATAAAGCAGAGAAGGTCATGGGACCGGGGGATTATAGGGTCATAGGCAGAGGTGTAAGAGCTGGAACAGAGCCATGGCAAGCTCCTGCCACCAACCCCCAAGGAGGGAGGGAGCTGCTCTCCTCCACAGTTATTTAGTGGATGTGGGAGAAACAGAACTTGCGTAGGAGAAGGAAAAGGGAACAGAACAGAAACCAGAGATCTCTAAGAAATTGAAAGGAAAAAAGACCACATGTAAGTCCCTGGGAGTTTTCTGCACAAAGACACCACTTTTTATTTGAATGGCACCGGCAGGTCCAAAACATTTGACAGCAGTAGGTTCTTTTAACCTATTAAAGGGCAGGAATTCCTTTGAGAGTCTGATAAAAGCTATGTGCCTTCTCCCCAGGAAAAAAAGACTAACCCAAGCACATAATATATAAAGCATTATATATCAACATTGTCCATGAGAACTTTCTGCAATGGTGAGAATGTTCCAGATCTGTACTGTCCAGTGTGGTAGCCACTAGCCACATGTGGTTACTGATGAAATGTGATGATTATAGTGTCCTCATAACAATTATCTTTCTTGAGCTGGTATGTGTCTAATGCCATTTAATCCCAACAACACTCCTATAAGATTGGTAGAGAATTTACCCATTTGATGTGCTGTTATTGAGGCCTGCCATCTTGTCCAAAGTCTCACCTCTAGGCCTCAGTGGAGGATTTGGGATAGAAACCCACGTCCATCTAACATGTAAACTCAAGTTCTTCCCTGACTCCCTAGGACCTGCTCTAAGGGTTCTACAAATGCAGGCCCAAGATCCTCCCTGAGGACTTGAAAGAAATTATTTCTAGTCATCAAAAGAACTTCAATTCACACAGGTAGCCATATTTAAAGTTATAATACAAAAGCTTCTCTTCCTGAAACCACCAGCAGGGGCTGGACTAAAGTCAACTGACAGTGGCAATAGAATGTTCTTCCATCAGGTTCATTTCGGACCATCCTATAGCAGAGGGATGGTTTCCTGTTCCCCACTGATCCTTTTTGGCTCCCAAAGAGGCCATGGGTGCTGATCCAGAAGTCAGTCTCCATGCCAGACTTCAGTTACCATATCTACCTTCCAAATAACAAGCATGGAAAATCCACCCTAGGAGTTGACACTCTCTGCCTTCCTGATAAAGAGGGTCCTGCACTAGGCCATCAGTGCTCACAGAGCACAGGTCCACACTGGCCCACGTCATACAGGTCATCCTTTCCCCTGGCCTTCAGGTTTCTATGGTAGCCAGAGCACATGGAGTAAAAACCCTCAGAATTTAATAGAACTCACTCTCACCCTTCATTTCGTATCTCTACTCACATCTAACATCTAGAAATTCCCCTCATTCACCAGGCATATTCAGATTGGTTTTGTCAGTATGGAATTTTACTTCTGCCAAGTCTTCCCCCCAAAATTTTCAAGATTCAGCCAGGATTCCATACATCTGCATGAAAACCTCTAACACCCAGGCCTCCATGCTCCCAGAATATATTACACATATAATCTACATACTTTTTAAAAATCAAATCTAGAGTCTCATGCACGCTACGCAAGTGCTGTTCCACTGAGCTACACAGACAGCCCCTAGTTCTATCTCCATACTGCCTTATATTATTTCTTGTTTAGGAACTGCAAAACACATTTATCTTTACACTTGTATCCTCATTTAACAGAGGTCTTAAGAAGTAGACCAATGGTCATCAAACTTGCTAAAGCACAGACTACCTGGCTCCAACTCCCAGAGTTTCCCATTCAGTGGTCCCAGGTGGGGCCTGAGAATATTCATTTCTGTTCATCTCAAGCGATGCCCACGCTGCTGGCCCAGGGACTGCACCTTGAGAACCTCTGCAAGCGATGTTTGTGGGACGAATACGTGATTGAATGAATGAAAATCCTATCCTATCCCCCAAGGGCTCCAAAAGTGAGTTTTAGAAAGGTCAAGATAAAAGATAAGATATTACCAACATATACTCCTCGATAAGAAGCAAAACTAGAAGCAGTAGGAAAAAAAAAAGAGAGAGAGAAGTGGACAAAAGATTTAGTGGCCCTAAAAACCTTAGGGCCACTGTCTGCTTTCCTTTTAGTCCTTCCTGATAATGTATGATCAGCCCAGAAATTTAAAAGAGGTTTATTCTGAATCAATCACATACTAAAAATATTCTGGAGAAACACTTTGACTGAGTAAGTCCAAGATTAGGAATTTTTCATAAGAAAATAATCAGAAATGAATATGAAAAAATGATACACAAGAAGCATCAATAGGGCTGGGATGTAGCTCGGTGGTACAGCGCTTGCCTAGCATGCGTGAGGCCCTGGGTTCGATCCCAGCACCAAAAAAGAAAAGACAAAAAAAAAAAAAAAAACCTCTCCCCAAGAAGCATCAATAAAGCCCTGTTTATAATAACCAGAAATTTGGAACAATTCAAATGTTTGGCAAAAGAAATTAGATTCAATAAATTACGGTATGTCCATAAATGGAATATTATAAAGCCTTTTAAACTGTCTTTATGGGGAATATTTATTGACATAGGAAGATATACATGATATAACAAATGAAAAAAAGCCAGCTAAAAAGCAATATAAACAGTATAATATAACTTTGGATAAAAACCGCAGATAGAAAAACATATTAAAATATAGAGATGCAGTCATTTAACAAACTGGGACTAAGAACAGAAATTGTTTTTAATTTCGACATTTGTATTTCAATCATTTCTGTAATAAACACACATGGCTTGTATAATTTCTTTACAGATATTTTAAAAACTTGCAGGCGGTGGGAGGTTTATACTTTGCATTTCTTCCCGTGAAGGACCAGAGTTGAACTGAAGCATGAGCATTTTTGTAAGATTTTCCCCACTCTGCTCTTTTATAAACACCAGCTACAATTTGGACTCCTCTTGCAAGCCAACCCTGTTTCTGGTGCTGCCTAGACCTGCTCAGAGTTCATTCCCAACTCAAGCAGCCTTGCTTGGAATAGCACTTCCTTCCTACCTACCATCAGCAAAGTGATCAGCTTAAGGGAATAGCATTTATTCCACAATACTTATTACCAAGCAAACTGCCATTTTTCAGAAACCATCCTTATCCCTATCTCATAGACTGGCTTTCAATAAGTCAGGTTGCTTAGCAAGCACCAAGGTACTGGGAAGAGAAAAGAGGAAAGAAGATGCCAGCCGGAGATGTTTTATGACCAAAATGAGCTGCCCTATGTGTGTCTGGTTGCATTCGAGGTAACCAAATAGATAACACTGGGCTATTTTTGCCTTATGAGACCAAACACTTGGCTCCCACCCAGAACAGCAATTACCTAAAAGTCTTGGCAGGTCCCCATGGTATGAGAAATGGTAACTAATACAGGAGTGGAAAAAATAAAAACTAAGAATCACTGACCTTCATAAATACTGATGATATGAGGATGGTTGAGGGATGACATGATCTCAATCTCTCGTCTGATGTGAACCATGTCTTGTTCATCCTTAATTTTGTCCTTACGAATGGATTTTATAGCAACCTATAAAGTCAGGAAATGAAATGTTACTCAGAGAACTAAACAGATGCAAATCAGCCATTGGGGAAGTTTGGAAAATAAATACAGATGTTACTTGTTGGCAAAACGGACAATCGCCAAAACAAAGCTTCGAAATACCCCCTTGTCATGTCTTTCATTTACAGCTAAGACCTCCTTCTCCTGCAACAGAAAACATCAGGTTTTAACAATCTTGGGATTGGGATCTTGGGTTTTTTTCATAAAGCAGAGGCTGCTTAACATGGCCAGATTCATTTACTCTAGAAATTCTGATCCTTTGAAAAAGAAAAGAAGGTGAGCTCCGTTTGCAGGGTGTTGATGACTAAACGTGTGAGGTGCTATTCAGACTACTCAGCTCCACCGAGCAGCAGTCACAGTAGTGACTTACAAAAGCATCACTACATGGCCATCTCGAAGCCAGTTCTGCCTCAAACCTGGGCTTTGAGGACTCCAGCCTGTGCTGTGCATATGCAGTTGCTCAGAAGGCAATTCCTTCCTCCCTTCCAAGGCACCTTCAATAGCATGTGGCATGCAAAGAGATTCTTCCAGAGACAAATCGGGATAAAACAAAGGGAGTGACAGCTCTCTCATGTCTGTGCCCAGCCCAGTGGGTTCCAAAAGCTCCCTGCCAATGCAGTCTGCAAATCCAAACCAGAGAATTGCCAGGGTCAGAGCAGAAATTTCTCAAAAGAAAGCCATAAATAAAAAGGCATTAAGTGACGATAGAAATCTAATGAGGAAAAATACATTTGCCAGTAGATACACTTTGCTCATAAACAAGTTGGTTGGTGATTTAATCATCCAAGGTTCTAAGAGAGGCAAAGTGGGAAGAGGTATCCATGGGTAAACAGGAAGCCCCCCAACCAATCTGCTGCTGACTCCAAAAGCCTGCTTAGTTATCTCCCTCCCAAACAGGCCTTCTTCTGACCTCCACTCTCCATCCTTTCCTCGGTGAAAGGCAGCTATCCCATACCAGATGATAAAACATGGACTTATCTGCAGAAGAACAACTCCTTGTTATCAGCAGCCTGCAGCTATACCTTGACTGTTGTAGGGTGGGCCACAGCTAGCCACAGCAGGAATGGACTCACATTCTGGAGCATTTGCAACTTCTGACCTGCCCAGCTCTCCACAAACACTATAAACAGAAACATTCCCATAATACATCTTTCCATCTGGGACTCAACAAGAATTGGGAAGCTGTTGCTTTTGGTTTTGCTATTTGCTGACCTCCCAGAAAGTAGGTTAATTGTACCCAGTGCTCTCTGTGTCTCTCCTATGCACTTAGTCCCTTTCCTAGCTGTGATTGCATCAGGATCCGTGTCTTTACTGGACTCTGTAGTTGTGGGGATCTTAGTAGCAGCTTTGTTTATCTCCAGTTCTTACCCCATGCATGGGTAGTAGACCTGAGCAAACATTCAGTGCAGATAGGCAGCAGGTAGAGCAAAAAGCAAGGAGAACAGAGAAGGAAGGAGGTGAGAAGGAAGGAGGTGAGGTAACGGGAACCCAGATCAAAGAAGTAGTAGTGAAACTGGGGCAAAAGAGGAAGGACCACCCCAACTAAACAACATTGCCAAGACAGGCATCCACCATGGGTGGACCCTGCGGCTGGAACCTGGGGCTGGTCAAAGAGGCCTTCCAGTTTAAAGGCCCCTTTTCACCATGGTGCCAGGCTCTGAACGTCCATAGCCCTCGAGACAGCCCCACTCAGAAGGCAATAAGAAAAGCCTCCTCTGCTCACCTCAGATTCAACACTATAAGTGGAAGGCTTCATTCTATGTGAGTAAGGCCTGCATCCTGGGAGTTTGCTCTTGGAGAAAACAGACAGTGAACACACACAGACCATGGAGGATGTGGGTGGCTGTTGGACCAACTCCTACATTCCTTCATAAACTAAAGATGGGCCAAGGGTAGAAACCACCCATTTGATTATGCAGCAAGCTGAACTTGGCTTCAAGGAGGCCCTATTGTCAAATCACAATAGAAATACATTCTTTCACCATCCCCATCCCCCCTCTCCCACCTCCCTTGTCAGGAGACGATAGCGACATTCTATCCTGTAAGAAAATGAGCCAACTGTCGTTTCCCCCCAACAACCAAGCGAAAGGCCAATGGTCTTATGGTGCAATTGCCAGGGTGATGCTTCCAGCCGGGTACAGAAAGTGCCCACATTCTCATCCAGCCCTACTCAGTGCTGGGGAAACTCAAAGGGCTCTGGAAATGTTAATAACCCCAGTGGCTGTCCCTCCACAAAGCCTGCCCTCTGCCTGGCAATGAATCTTCCTCTGTAAATGCCAGAGTGCTCATTCTGCTCCGTATCAAAGCCATGGTGGGAAGGTAAGAGGAAACAAATGTTAGAAACCATTAAGAGTCGTAGGACTTCCAAGGCCATGGGAAGACATTTGGTTCCAGTTCCAAGAACTGTGAATGACCTCAGGTCAGCCAAGCCAGTTCATGGCAAACCAAGAAAACAGTAACGACAATGACCATAACAGCCAGCATTCATTAAACACCTAAGTAGAGTACATTGTGCTAAGAGCTTCCCACACCACACATCTTTGAATCCTTTCATTCAAGCTTCAGCTTCACCATGCACTAAGCTTAAAGAGACCCTTCCTGGCCCCTCCAGCTGACACAGCCACCTCCCTCTCCATACCCTTCCCATTTTTAAAATCTTCTTTGGGGAATTTCATACCAACTCACATTGTTTTTCTTCTTTACTTGTTTGCTACAATAATATTACGCCTTATTTCTGCACCTGTTTTTGTAGGACTGGAGGACATTTTTAAAGTGTTCAGAAAGAAGGAGATATATAAACATAGCTCCTAAATGAGTGCCTGCTTCATTGAAAGATAAACTGAGCCAGTGCACAGAGAATAGAGCATTATGGTCAGAAATATGGCTTTGAGTCCTGGCTAAAATCACTGTGTGACCTTGGGCAGGTTACATAAACTAGCTGTGCCCGGGTCTCCTCATTCATCAAGTAGAGAAGTAGTAGTACTTGCTTCACAGGTCCCTGTGAGGATTACAAACCAGAATGTGCCTGGGGGTGGAGGCTGGGCTCAAGTGATAGAGCACTTTCCTATCAAGCTGGAGGCCCTGAGTTCAAACCCCAGTAAATATGGCTTAGTAAATGTCAGGCACTTTTATCCGGAGTAAGTGTCCCAGAAGTAAAACTTTCCTTTCTTCTTTTCCACTTTTCCTCCTCAGAGCAAACTTGAATTCCTCTGATTCCTCAAGGGACAAGTGTAGGTCTTGGGCATAGAGACCACGTTTGTTCCAAAAGCACATACCAGACAAAACATCTCCATTCTGGGTCTTTAAATGGTAACCTCATTTGAAAGAGGAAGCTCAGAATCACTGGGGCCACCCTTGTCATCGCAGCACCTGAGTCTAAAATCAGGTAAGAGGGTGAACAACTTGAGCCTAAAAGCAACCCCAGAATCATCCCCAGCCTCCCTCCCATTCCCTCCTTACTGCTGTCCATTCAGCTAAAAGGGAAATAAAATCTCACTGCTCAGGATCAAAAGTAAGCCTTAAGATATCCACTTTGGACTTCATGATTTGACTGTTAATTCACTTATTCTTTTTGAGTTCCTGCCATGGTCCAGGTTACACAGGCAGGACGTAGCATAATTTTGCCCCAGCCTTCAAGACAGGAGGTAGGCAATAACCAAAAGGTACACCAATAATGTAATTCCTCTCATGGCCAGGGGCTACCAAAAAAATATGTGGACATGTCCGGCATTGTGGAGGAAAGCCCCTCTCCAGTCTTCCTCACCTCACATCTACAAAGGGAAACAGAGGCAGGGAAAGGGCTCAGCAGAAAGAGATTACCCAACATCTGAAATCACACACCTTCCTTCCCCCAAAAAATGATCCACTTTTTCTCTGTGCAAGTCAGAGGGGAAGGCTGAAGCGGGGAACGCAGGTGTTTGTTTGAGCCCGACACAACACGGCCACTTTCATAAATGTTCCAAGTCTAGACAGAACCACACACCTTATAAAACAGTCGGCTTTTAAACACGGCCACCCTACGGTTTAACACTGAAACCTTATGCGGCAGCAGGGTTGGCCGTGACCCTGTGAGTTCTGCTCCGTGATTCCTGCCTATGTAAGAGACACCCTGAGCCCAATCAATTCCCGTCTCTCTGCCGAGACCGCTTCTTTGGAGTTGGCACTTTTTTCCCTTTTTTTGAATCTGCACCAAAAGTCACCTGCTCTGCAGCCTGCTGGGCAGCCTCATGGGCAGTGACTGATTGAGAGTTGGGTGACACAGGCAGGAATGAGTGGGACAGACAGGCAGAGTGAACACTCAAGACTTTTCCAGGCTGGGTGGCCTCAGGCCAAACCAAACCTCACAGCTCTCAGTTTCCTTGTCTATAAATGGGGTTCCCAAGTCATGCTGCCTGGGGTTGGTGAGAACAATGTGAGTGAAGTGCCAGCATGCAGCCAGCATTCACTCAATGGCAGTGATTGTCAGGGGGGCCTGTCCAAGAGACGCAGTGATACAGGGTCCTGGACCTAAAGGAGTAACAAGTCCACAGCAGACCATACACGTGCCCACACACACCCACAGCTCCCCGCCCCCATATCCCTTCTTCCCTTGTACAGCAGTAAACTCAGGTTAAAATTAAAATCCAGCCATCCCCAGACGGGCTATGGAGAAGTGTGCAACAGGCTGTAGGGAGTGGAGTGGGGGAGGTCTGAGCAGGCTGTGTGCACACGAGGCTCTACCCAAGACTATCACTACCAGCTTCCATCCCCAGCCACCTCCCCGGATGCTCATTCATTGACCTATGTCAGTCTACCAGGAGTATTCTAGAATAGTGCATCTCAAACAGGATGCACCCTGTCATCTTGTCAAAATGCGGATTCAGAATCCGTAGGTCCAGGACTAGCAAGTTCCTAGGTGCCAGTGATGCTGGTCCAGGGACCACATTTTGAGAAGCCAGGTCTTACTGCTTTATCTTTGACCTTGACGTACCAACATTTTTAAACTTCTGGTGGTATTCTTAATGATAACAATAACTGACATTTAGTATGTGCCAGCTATGGGCCGGCAGACTTTATTTCATTTGGTCCTAATTATAGATTACATGTGGTCCATTTTACAGATGAAAACACTGAGGCCCAGAGAAGATAAGTATTGCCCCAAGTCAAGCAAACAGCATATAAAACATGAAGCTAGAACTTGAGGACAGGTGCTGAGCCCAGAGGCTGTTGACTCCTGAGGCTGTGGATATAGGTGGGATGAAGAACAACACGGCAGGTGATGCAATCGGAAGGATCCCAGGTGGGATGGGCCCCCCCCAGTGGTTAAGTGAGGTTCCTGAAGGAAGGTGGCCTAGGGTAGTAAGCAGCCAGCCCACAGGGTAAGAAGTAGGTCATAAACACAGCATTAGCATCACTTAGTGAGCACAAGCAAGCGTCTAATCCCAGCAAAAAGGGCTGGCAGCCTCCCTGCCATTCACAAGGTATGAGCTCACACACATCTGCCACTTTCTACCAACAGAGCTTCAGGGCACTGAGTCGGAGCAGAGGATCTTTCCTTACCAAGGGTCCCAGAGGCCACATCAAGTGGTACATGCCAGGGTCCAGAGTCCTGCTCGCATCTAGAAACTGGACAGAATCTGGGGAAAGGCCTCACTCCATGTGGGCCACAATGGTCCAAAGGCTTACCAGATGACCACAAGGCTTTTACTCAGAAAGTCTTTTCCTGAAGCACAAGGTGATGCCACCCAGAAGGCCATGTTGCAACCAGACCCCCTAATTGCTTCAGTGACCCTCAGCATTTTGTGGAGGAGCCTAGCCAACTCAGGACAACACTCCAGCAAGCAGCCAGGATGGAATGGGCCCCATGGGGCTCAAGCCAGCTGCGCCTCGGGGCACATGGCTCTTTCTCTCTTCCTCCTTGGCCTGTTGACTCATGTTGTTACATGGGTGCTTTTTCAGGCAGGAGCATGGGGAAGCCAAGAGTTGTATGCACAGGCTCTGAGGAGAGGCACCAGATGCCAAAGGGGCAGCTTCTCCTTCCAAGAGGGCCATCCCGCCATCGTAAGAGTCTGAAGAATATAATTCTCTGTAACTTGGTTCTCAATCCTCTGTTTCCCAAAACTCCCATAAGAGATCCAATTC